TCTTAGAGGTCTTTTCCAACCTCAATGATTCTATGATTCTATGATTCTATATGGTCTGTCTGAGCTTTCACTCACTATTAGTAGTATTTCAATAATAATCCAATTCAAATGCATAATGCTTGACTTTCTTGGTTCTCTAACAGGAACATTTTGCTAATAATTTCGATCTTTGCAGTATCTAGGAGAAGTTGTAGAGCTAAGGATACTCGTGGCAGAGAAGTTAAAACTTGGTGTAGAGAAATGGCACTCAAATTAAATGAATTATTTTTGCAGGTCAGCACTGTACACAGTCTGTGTGGTGCCTCAACCCAAACTGGTGGCCTCATCCCAAACCATGCTGTCCCATGTCATATATTGATTGGAAGTACCTTTCAAATCACTTCCCCGTACTTTACTAGTTTTCAGGTTTAGCTTTAGATGATGCATATATGGCTGTATGGCCAAGGAGAAGAGGGAGAGAAGGATAACTATTAATCTGCTGTCCTTGATACCAGGAAATTCTTAGATCTAATCTGTGCAGCCCCATCCTTCAAAAGATTTCCTGTTATAAACAGTTCATGATTTGAGGGGGGGCAATGCACTGCTCAAGGAGCCCATCCCAGAATAATGAAAAGAATGCAGCAGTTCAGTCCCCTTAGTGACTGTAATTAACTACTTTTAGCCTAGAAAATAAGATCTATGTGAATGGTTTGCAAGTTACAGGAGCAGAAGCTATTTTAAAACTGGGAATATATAGAAGTTATGTTCAGTTGTCATGCAAGGGAGAGGAAGGGAGGGGGCATAGCAGCTACAGGTTCACAGTTAGTTATCAAGTCAGTTGCTAAGAAATTTGATTAGGTTATTGCTTGTGCTCAGCACATCAGCTTTGCTCTTATCAAGGTGCTTTGCAATTTTCAGAAACGAAGGGCTTTAGAAGGCCAAAACATGGAGAATGGTACAGTCAGGTTGTTTTGACAGGTGGTGGAAGACTGCTTTGGTTTGCAGATATGCAAGTGTTAAACACAGTACCCTCAGCCAAATTTATACTCAGGTAATTATAACTACAAAATGCTCTCCACCACGTCCCCCTTCCTTGCTCCAACCATTTCAGTTGCCTCATGCAGCATGTTTTATTGCCCTAATCTGTGGTGTAGAGCTGTGGTCTGATTTTACAGCAGCTGCTGTGTATCATCCCAGAGATGGCTGTACTTTGGCGGTGGACAGAGTGATTTATACACTCATTTACTAAAGTTTATAAAGACATGTTAGAGCCATCTGAGAAAAGGTGCTATAAATGACAGGCGCAGTTCCAGTTTTTTTGGCACACCAGTCAAAAACTCAAAGGACAGTGACCTTGTGATAGCCAGTAAGGAGAGCAAGGTCGGTCCATCTGGGCGTACAGCAGTATTTTGGTGGCTCTGTGTGTCGTACTTGAGGATACCCCTGAGTTTGCTCTGATCTTCATCTGTTTGCACAGTGGTGACCTTAGCAGAATGGGACAGCGTGAAGGGGCAGGAGAAAGCCAAGGCACTGCTGTGTTAGAAATCCTTGTGATAGCTTGGTGCAAGCTGCTGCGGTGTGGTGCAGAAATAGGAGGTTAGGTACTAGAAGTGGTCTAGCCCCAGCTCTGTGCTGGGAGTGAGGAGCCCAGAGGAGAGGCAGGTCCAACTGACCATGTTGTACTGCTGTGTTGTGTCCGGCCAAGTTCGTCTCAAAGCTGTCTTCAGAGACCTCTCTGCCTCTCTCCACCACATTGCCTGAATACACTGTAGAAATGGCACTTCCAGGCAAGTGTCCTCAGAAAACTGCCTGGAGCGAGTCATGGGTTGTCACCTCTTTTTTTACCTCCAGGACCTTCCTCATCTGTTTGCTAAAGGACTTTTTAGGTCTTCTCTTGGCTGATAGCTCAGTGTGGAGGCTTGATGATGTCTCTTTCCCTGAAAGTGAAAAGAGGCATCTGGCCCATTTCAGAGTCTGGCAAGCAGAAGAAACCTCTATCCTCGGTTATTGTAGAGGGCAGGACATGCAGATTATTGCCCTCTTCATGTCTGTCTGGATCTTTGGGGTGTAGGGAAAGGGAGTGCACAGCTTTTCAACATCTCTGGGGAAGCAGAGAGACAGGGTACTGAGTGGTGACAGTAGTCACCACTCACTGCATCTTCCCATTCTATCTGTGAATCCCTGTGTCTGCGCCAGCTGCACTGGGAAAGACAAGTTTGAGCATAATTCCTCTAACAGACGAACTGAAATTAAAATTGTAGAGACTCTGACCTGACCCTCTTCATTAATCCCTTGGGGGTGTAGTATGTGCCCTGTGAAGAGCCATCCACTGAAAATAAGATGCACCTATTTGCTGCAAGCTTGTTGCTGGATGTGCAGCTTGCTTTGATACCGTGAAGACAAAATAAACAAGATGAAAAGAGAATTAAATATGAGCTAGTGGGGGCAGGATGCCTACATCTGTGTGCGTATAAAGGGATATTACTTTCTGCAGAGACCACAGATTTGTTTCCAGGACAGCAGAGAAGGGTCAGATCTTCAGAAGGTTGTAAACTGGCACGTTTGGTATTAGTACAGGTATGACGATATGCATCAGCTGAGAAGCTAGCCTGGTATATACCAGTAAAAGAGGATGGGGGGGGGGGGGGGGGGGGGGAGGTGGGGAAAGGTTG